CTTCAAGAAACAAGAGCAAAGAAAGTGGACCTGGATAAGCCCAGACGGTGCTACAAAAAATGAGATAGACTTTATCATGTCGACGCGGAAGCAAATATTTAATGATGTCTCAGTGATCAATGCGATTAAAACCGGGAGCGATCACCGAATTGTCCGAGGCACATTGAATATCGACGTCAAGCTTGAGCGCAGTCGGCTGATAAGGTCTACGCTCCGTCCAGCACCGATCCATATTCAGAATTCCGAAGCCTTCCAGCTCGAACTCCAGAACCGGTTCGATTGCCTAGGGAGTAGCGTGGACGATATAAATGACGGGTTCGTACAAGCTGTTCAGACGGTGGGTACTAAATTCTTTAAGACCCGCCGCAGAAGCTCGTCCAGGAAACTCTCGGATCACACTCTTGAGCTCATGAAGGAAAGGCGAGACATGACTCTGCACTCTCCAGATGATGCGAAACGGTATAGGCTGCTAAATAGACAGATCTCAACGAGCATAAAACGCGATATACGCCGATTTAACACAAATCGTGTTAAAACGGCTATTGAGCAGAATAGGGGCTCCAAAGTGTTCTCCCGAGATCTGTCTATTGGGCAAAGCCTACTGTCGAAGCTGAAGACTGAGGAGGGCAGGGTAGTGTCCTCTGGACCTGAGATCTTGCGTGAAGTCGAGAAGTTCTATGGACAGCTCTACGCAACGCAGAAACCCGTCACGGATCTGACTGAAGACCCAAGAGCCAGATTAACCCGACACTATACCGAAGATATCCCGGACGTCAGTCTCGACGAGATTAGTGTGGCCCTCCAACATCTTAAGAACAACAAGGCACCGGGGGATGACGGAATTACAGCAGAGCTTTTGAGGGCAGCTGGAGAACCGGCACTCAGGGTTCTCCAGAAGCTCTTTAATTCCGTCATTCTCGAGGGACGTACGCCAAAGGCATGGAGCAGAAGTGTGGTGGTACTGTTCTTCAAGAAGGGAGACAAAGCCCTACTGAAGAACTACAGGCCCATCTCACTTCTGAGCCATGTCTACAAGTTGTTCTCGAGGGTCATCACGAACCGTCTCGCTCGCAGATTTGACGACTTCCAGCCTCCCGAACAAGCCGGTTTCCGTAAAGGCTTTAGTACCGTAGACCACATTCATACGCTGCGGCAGGTGATACAGAAGACCGAGGAGTATAACCTGCCACTATGCTTAGCGTTTGTGGACTACGAGAAAGCCTTCGATTCGGTCGAGACCTGGGCGGTACTACAGTCTCTCCAGAGGTGCCAAATTGACTACCGGTACATCGAAGCGCTAAGGTGCTTGTACGAAAACGCCACTATGTCAGTCCGAGTACAGAGTCAGGACACGAAACCGATCAAACTGCAGCGCGGTGTAAGACAGGGTGACGTAATTTCCCCGAAACTCTTCACCGCCGCGTTAGAAGACGTTTTCAAAGTCCTCGACTGGAAAGGACTAGGCATCAATATCAACGGCGAGTACATCACGCACCTTCGCTTTGCCGATGACATAGTAGTCATGGCTGAGACCATGGAGGGACTAAGTACAATGCTCGACGACCTCAATAGAGCCTCCGAACGAGTGGGTCTAAAAATGAACATGGATAAGACGAAGGTCATGTCGAATATCCATGTTCCACCCACTCCAATAACCATCGGAGGCCACACTCTCGAAGTTGTCGACGAATATGTCTACCTGGGACAGACTGTCCAGCTAGGTAGGTCCAACTTCGAGAAGGAGGTCAATCGCCGAATCCGACTCGGATGGGCAGCGTTCGGGAAGTTGCGAGATATCCTCTCGTCCCAAGACCTACCGCAATGTCTCAAGACGAAAGTCTTCGACCAGTGTGTGTTGCCAGCGATGACTTATGGTACCGAGACGTGGCCCCTCACTGCGGGCAACGTTAGGCGGCTCAAAGTCACTCAAAGGGCAATGGAGAGGGCAATGCTCGGTGTCTCTCTGCGAGATCGCGTCAGAAATGATGCGATCCGCAGCAGAACCAGAGTAACCGACATTGCCCGAAGAATTGCAAACCTTAAGTGGCGATGGGCCGGCCACATTGCCCGCAGAACGGACGGCCGATGGGGCCGAAAAGTCCTAGAGTGGCGGCCGCGGACGGGTCGACGCAGCGTAGGTAGGCCTCCCGCACGATGGACCGATGACCTGGTCAAGGTTGCGGGAGTGCACTGGATGCGGGCGGCACAGGACCGGGCATTGTGGCAGTCGATGGGGGAGGCCTACGTCCAGCAGTGGACAAGCTTAGGTTGAATGATGATGATGATGAAAATGTTGGTTAACATCAATAAAAGGATTGTATTATATTAATGTTAAAACTTCCAGTCTTATAATATTGGAAAGTATGGAAAACATCGTGATGCAACCTACATATATCTGCAAATAAATTTAAATATATGTGTGAAGCCAATTAACCCGCATTTGGCCACTTACTATGGCCTAGTCACCTCTAACTTAGGGTGGACACCAAGCCCCTCAGTGGGAACGTATGGTGAGCTAATGATGAAGTATGATTTAATTCTATGAGTTTATTGTAGCACTTTGGACTTACACTGTTATGTTAGAAAAATAATTGTAGTAGCTTTTGTAGTGGCGCGAAATAATTTCTATCTATAGTAAATTGCTGAAAGAAAAATTTCGGAGTCTATTCAGTACAAACAATCAAAGCATTTCTTTGTATATTATATTAGTATAGATATCGTCTGGTTACCTATCATGAGAATCATAAATTGTATATTTGTAATTGCAGGAAATATGTTAATATATTTTAGAAATTACCGGCCAGCTAAAACTAAATGAAGGCCAAATTTTACTGTTACCAAAAACCACAAACTACCGAAAGTTATAACGCGTGTTTTATAGGAAAAAGTTTTCCTTGAAATGTGGATTTTATTAGAC